TGTGTGTGTGTGTGTGTGTGTGTGTGTGTGTGTGTGTGTGTGTGTGTATTTTAGTTTTCAAAACTGCAGAATAATCTAGCATTAAGCCTACTTTTGTGTTCATGACTAATTGTGTTTTTTAAGGGTCAGAGAGGTAAGCCACTTTGCGTTTTTTGGACTTTTCAACAGTATGGCTCTTTTTTTCTTTCCTTTTATTATACTTCTATAGAATAACAGCATTCAAGTTAATTAAAGGGAATAGGGACCTGAATTAGAAGAATGAATCACCATCCAAAAAGCTGCAAGTGGGAAATGACCCACTTTGCTTTCCCCTGAAAAACTATTGTTCCAGCATCAGTGCCAGTTGGCAGCTGCGAAGACAGAGGAGAGCAGACTGTAGAGGAGGCGGCCTGGCTTCCGGACTCAGTCTGTGTGTCCTTGGGCTCACTTCTGGAGAAACTTGCAATAAGTGGGCTATCCGGCTGGAATGAACTCAGAATCTTCTCGTCTCTTTTATCCTCCGGCATTTCACAATACACTGAGAGGGTGTGTGTGTGTGTGTGTGTGTGTGTGTGTGTGTGTGCGCGCGCGCCCTCACGAATGCATGTGTTAGTGCATGTGTGTGAGTGGGCATCATGTGTGTTCCTCCTTGATTACTATAGTCTTTAACTAGGAAAATAACTCCTGTATCCTAAGTTTAATAACCAGGTGGGACATGGTAACCCTGTGGACTTTTGAAAAAGGTTATTAAAATGATGACAGTCAACTTTGCAGTATTAATTGTAACGTGGTCAAGTATTTGAATGTGGACACTGATGTTTTAAGGAATTGTTGGTATCTTTTAAGATATGATAATGGTGTAGTGGTTACATTAAGCTGATATATGCTAAAATATTTACTAATGAGATTAAAAATGGCAAAAGACATGAGGAGGAGAGTACACAGGCTGGTGGGCACAGCAGGATTGGCTGAAACTGGGGAACCTGGTGGCGAATCCACAAGCATTCATTTTCAACTGTATGTTCTGGCTAGATTCTAAATTACTGTGTGCATATGCACATGCTCTCTAAAACACCAGTGAGGGCAGCCTCATTAGTGCTGTGTCATCTCACTGCACCCATGGTTATCCCATTGTTCATGGTTTAGATGCCAGACCAGTTTGATCAGGTGGTTGTGCTGAACCAGCTGCGCTACTCGGGGATGCTGGAGACGGTGAGGATTCGAAAAGCAGGATATGCAGTCCGAAGACCCTTTCAGGATTTTTACAAAAGGCAAGAGGGAGCTAAATGGGTTCTTTCTTTCCTCTCATTCTTGCCCTTTCCTTCTTTTCTTCTTCCCTCCCTCCTTCCCTTCCTTCCTTCCTTTCTCTCTGTCTCTTCAAAAGGGAAGGGGCAGAGCAGATGGCAATGGTAACACCATGCCTTCTCCGCTGCAGATACAAAGTGCTGATGCGGAACCTGGCTGTGCCAGAGGACATCCGAGGGAAGTGTACTGTGCTGCTGCAGCTCTATGATGCCTCTAACAGCGAGTGGCAGCTGGGGAAGACCAAGGTACAAATAGCCACCAAGCCTGCCCGGGAGACCAGTGACACTCACAAGTGTCATTCTCAGACACTGCTAGTGGTTGTTATTAACATTTTGATGGTTCATGTGGAGGGAGTGTGTGTAACTGAGTGAATGTGACCCCAGCCTTGTAGATCTGCAAGCAGCCCCCAACACCTCAGAAGTGAAACTCCAAAGCCAACTCTTGATTTGAATGCTAAGTGTGTGTCACCCCTGCTGCCGCAGCAGTTATTCCATGGGGACCCTCACACAGCCTGAAATCCTGCAGGTTGCCAAAGCCTCAGCCAAGAGTAAGAAAAAGTAAAGCCCACATTTTTGCCATGCTGCTGTAGCAGAGGCCCTTAACCCCTTGTGCCAGGTGGAATGCTTTGCCTGAGAGAGCCCTCATGTCTTCACCTTTTCAAAACATAGGTAGTAATGCACCAACATCAGGTGCAGCTCACTTGACCAGTGTAAATTAAGGAGTCCATTAACCAAAATGAGCATGCAAGGATTTGTTTAATCCTGAACCCAGTGCATTTGTAACCACCGAACGGAAGCCCTTCTTTTCTAACTTCGAACACAGTTACTAGAATTGTATGTGTGTGAGAGAATTGAACTCAGAACCTCATGCATACTGTATGCTAGCCACCTGTTCTAATCACATCCCCAGATCTCAGTTTCTTTCTCCTTAAAAAAAAAAAAAAAAAAAAAAATGTATTTTAATTACGTTTTGGGTGATATAAGGGCAGGTGCCTGTCACTTGGTGTGAGCACGAGAAGCACACTCAGGGGTGGCACACTCAGGTCTCCTGGAAGAACAGGGAGTGTTCCTAATCACTGGCCATCTCTCCAGTGCCCGGAGCAGCCTTCTTGGTGTCAGTACTTCTTTGTGCGTAAAAAGCTTAGCTTAGAAGCCAAGATACTCTGTAGGTTATTGTTTAGCAGCCATGGAGAGAAGGTATGTTCCCACAAGACAGCAAAATTTTAATATTTTAGGACTTTCTTGGGTTCACTCCCTCTCTCTTTCTATCATCAATGTCTGTCTCCTGTCACTCAGACTCGGCTCAGGTCCAGTGCTGGTCTGTGAGCTAGTGTGCCCTGGCCACAATGACGTAAGGATTTGATAGCCGCTTTATGCCTGTTGAGTGTAGTAATAACTGAAGACAAGGCGACTTTCTGTCTGTCCCTTTTTTTTATTTTCTTTTTTTATTTTCTGATGTTATAACGTCAGGTACCATCTATGGCAGGTGGACTGTGTAAAATGCACTCACTGGCTTAAAAAGCCTTCTTGTGGGAGTTAGCAACAGACATCCAGTAGAGAGGAACAGATGCTGACCCTAAAAGATAGGCCTGACTTTGAGGTGCCTTTCTTCACAACCATGTTCTTTTCTTGACACGTCTCTCTCCTGTCCAGGTCTTTCTTCGGGAATCCTTGGAGCAGAAACTGGAGAAAAAGCGGGAAGAGGAGATTAATCATGCAGCCATGGTGATCCGAGCTCACATCTTTGGCTACCTGGCACGGTAAGAACCACACCTTGGGGAAGGGCATGAAGCTCTCGAAGGGCTGTGACCCCTGGTGGGGTGGTTTGTGGTAGTGGAGAGGTACCCAAGGTCATATATCTTTAAGTGACTAAGGCAATAACCCCATAAGCCTGACCTGCACAGAGCGCGGAAAATCACTTCTCAGTGAGCTGCTGCTGCTCACTCAGACGTCTCAGAGACACTGGCTCCGCTGCATCTCCTGAAGCCTCTGGAGTTTGGCTCAGTCCTGTGCCATGGCTACCCAAGTGTGTCCTTCGTCTGAAACGCTTAGGCTCACAGCATTTCAGATTCGGGAATTTTTCATATTAGAATATCTTACCCACCTGGCCTCTGCTGATTGGCAGTCAGAAATTTAAAAAATAACCCAGGATCTGAGTTTGTTTGGTTTTTTTTTTTTTTTTCCTGTGCTGAATATTGATTCTATTTTTCCCCCATACTTGTTCATACACGCTAAGCATACATTCTGCCTGTGAGCTACATTCCTTAGAATCTAAAAATCTCTTGATTTCATTTGATGTGTATGGATGCTTTGCCTGCATATATGTCCTTGTACTGTGCACCTGCAGATGGCTGTGAACTGCCGTGTGGGTGCTGGGAATTGAACCCAGGTCCTCTGGAGAGCAGCCTGTGCTCTTAACTGCTGAGCCACTTCTCCAGCTCTAGAATCTGAAATGTCTGAGCATCATATCAGCATTCAAGAAAGTGCAGATCTGAAGTTTGGGGATGAAGAACTCTCAACTTGTATCACATAACCTAGAGACCCATTCCCCAGTTGCTTACAAAACAGTACTGCATCTTTCATGCTTGTTTGTCTTGTTGTTGTATGCCAAAATCTCACGATGTAGCCCTGGCTGGCTTGGAACTCTCAATGTAGGTCAAGTTGGCCACAAATTCAGAGGTATGTCTGTCTCTGCCTCCCAAGTACTGACATTAAAAACATGTGCTGCCAGTTCTGACTCATGCTCATTTGGATGGGTGTACTCTGCAGGCTACATGAGACACTAGGTATTCCATTTTCGGAAGCATGGAGCTCTCCTGCTACAGTAGCATTTTGTTTTCTTGCTTTCATTTCAACAGTAGACTATATTGGATCCTCTTTGCCTGTGTTTACCCAGCTTGTGCCAGACTGCCCAAAGTCAGTATTAGGGTTGCTTATTTATTTAGCCAAGATAATGGCAGGTCCCTGACTTTCTTTTGTTTGTTATTCTTTTTTTTTTTCTTTTCTCTCCCAATTTCCTTCTCTGACTGCCAATCTCCATAATGTAAGACGGGTCCAAATTTGGGTCCTCTCCTTTTGTCTTGTAGTCATAAATTCATTTGAATAGCTCACAGCTTCATTGTCTTGGCGGCCACCCTCTTTTACAGAAAACAGTATAGAAAGGTTCTTTGTGGTGTGGTGATGATACAGAAGAATTACAGAGCTTTCCTCATGAGGAAGAGATTTCTGCACCTGAAAAAGGCAGCCATCGTGTTCCAAAAGCAGCTCAGAGGACAGCTGGCACGCAGGGTTTACAGGCAGCTGCTGGCTGAGAAACGGGAACAGGAGGAAAGGAAGAGGCAGGAGGAAGAAAAGAAAAGAGAGGAAGAAGAAAGGTATGTGCTTTGCTTGGTGAAACATGGGTTCACTGGGGGTGTTACCCTTGCCGGCCTGTCAGCAATTTCCAAAGGACCCAGAGAACTCATGAAGCAGTAGTCCTCAGCAGCTGGAATATCATATTCCGTGGCAACACAGACATCCCAGTTCTGTGCATATTTCTCTTTACACACGCTATAAGTACACCCCCCATCCTTCCTCGTCAAGTGCGTGCTTGTGTGGGTGTGGAGGCCAGATATTTGAGTCTCATAGCCTCCTCAGTTGCTCTCTACTATCCTGCTGAACCTAGAGCTTACTGATTTGGACAGGGTGACTGACCAGCGACCTCCATTGTGCCGCTTGTTTCTGCTTTTCCGCATTGGAATTACAGATGTATCCCGCTATGCTTTGGCTCTGTGCCTGGGTGCAGAGGGTCTGAACTCAGGACTTCACGCTTACAAAGCAAGCACATCTCCTCAACTTCTTTCCTGGTTTTCAACTGGCAAAGAGCTTCTTTGGGCCGAGCACATAGCTCAGTAATGGAGTATTTGCCTAGCCGGGCCGAGCACATAGCTCAGTAATGGAGTATTTGCCTAGCCCCAACACTGCTCAAAAATGAGACCTACTGAAAAGTCATTTCAGAGCTGCTGATTTTCATCAGCTGTTTTTCTTTTCTGTTTTTAGAGAGAGAGCACAGAGAGAAGCCGACCTCCTCTGTGCCCAGCAGGTAAGTAGGACTGTGACATTTGGGGCTCTTTATGTGTTCCCTTCCTGCTTCAAACCTTGACACTGGGATTCGGGATGGAAATCAAGTAGGAGAGAGTGGAAGAACAGGCTGAAGAGATGTTGTGGTACACTTTCTCACCCATCACAGTGGTGCAGAGCTTAGAGAGTGCCTTGAGACTTCAGTATGGATCATAGTGTGATTTCTCTGTGGTAAGGCAGTACCCCGTTAGCATCCTAGTGATGCCATTACGGTCTGCACCATCGCTAAGGCTTGGTTTTTCCCAAGGCCTTTTCTTGACCAGGTGGTAACCTCACTGTGTCCATACACCACGGTTCTTTCTTGATATTTATTTCCTGGTATCTTGTCTCCCACTCTCTTCTTTTATAAGGAGGCCATTCAGTTTAGATGCAGAATCAGTTCACTGACCTCACCTCATTTAACTTAACCACGCAATTAAAAGCCCTGTGTCTAACCACAGCCATGTTCTGAGGATTTCAGGGTGGGGCCACAGTTCAATGCGTAAAAAAGGTGGGAGGTGCTTATTCTAAAACCCCCTGTGCCCAGGAGGAAGAAGCAAGGAGGCAGCAGGAACTTGAAGCTTTGCAGAAGAGCCAGAGGGAAGCGAACCTGACCCGGGAGCTAGAGAAACAGAGGGAGAACAAACAGGTGGAGGAGATACTCCGGCTGGAGAAGGAGATCGAGGATCTGCAGCGCATGAAGGAGCGCCAGGAGCTGTCGCTGACCGAGGCCTCACTGCAGAAGCTGCAGCAGCTTCGGGATGAGGAGCTGCGCAGGCTGGAGGACGAGGCCTGTCGCGCTGCCCAGGAGTTCCTGGAGTCCCTCAACTTCGACGAGATCGACGAGTGCGTCCGCAACATCGAGCGCTCCCTGTCGGTTGGGAGCGAGGTTTCCGGTGAGCTTGGTGAGCTTGCTGAGGCTGCCGGTGCGGGTGCGGAGAAGCCGAGCTTCAACTTCAGCCAGCCCTACCCCGAGGAGGAGGTGGACGAGGGCTTCGAGGCTGATGACGATGCCTTCAAGGACTCACCCAACCCCAGTGAGCATGGCCACTCTGACCAGCGGACAAGCGGCATCCGGACCAGCGATGACTCCTCTGAGGATGACCCTTACATGAACTACACTGTGGTGCCCACCAGCCCCAGTGCTGACAGTACCGTGCTGCTGGCCCCATCCGTGCAGGACTCTGCCAGCCTGCACAACTCCTCCAGCGGGGAGTCTACCTACTGCATGCCCCAGAACAACGGAGACCTGCCCTCCCCCGATGGCGACTATGACTATGACCAGGACGATTATGAGGATGGTGCCATCACCTCAGGCAGCAGCGTGACTTTCTCCAACTCCTATGGGAGCCAGTGGTCCCCAGACTACAGGTACTCAGTGGGAACCTACAACAGTTCCGGAGCATACCGGTTCAGCTCAGAAGGAGCGCAGTCCTCTGTGAGTATCTGCCTCTTTTGTCCCTACAAATGGAAGTGCTCCACCATCTACCACACTGCTGCATCGTCAGTAGCATTAAGGCAGACCCCTAAAGATTTCAGTCAGGTCTGTCAAGATACTCTTACCCTTCCTCTTTCCAAAGGCCAGATAAACCAATGAAAATGGGGTTCGGCGCAAAGCCCAGAACTGACCTTCATCCAGGCCATGAGAAAACTGCTTTCTGCATTTATTTCTCTGTGTGTGTGTGTGTGTGTGTGTGTGTGTGTGTGTGTGTGTGTGTGTGTGTGTGTGTGAGAGAGAACATGTGTAGAACCCAAAGGAAAACCTTTCCTCTGGTGCTATCCACCATTTTGTGTGTGTGTATGGCGATCTCATTAGCCTGGAACTCACCAAGTAGGCTATAGTGGGCTATGCCTAGGTAGTCACCTATCTCCACCTTGCCGGTGCTGAGATCACAAGTCCTTAGGAGCTACCACACCCAGCTGTTTCTGCATAAACTTTGGGAATGCACTCAGGTCCTCGTATCTATACTTTACTAGCAGAACTGTCTGCCAAGCTCCATACTGGCATATTGGATGGATCAGATTAGGCACATTCATGATGATATGGCCACAGGCCCAATTGGCATTTTCAATGAGGCTCAGCTTGGCTATTCTGTCTGCATTTGTGTCTGCAGACAAGAGGGCACCAGATCCCATTATAGATGGTTATAAGTCACCATGTGGTTGCTAGGAATTGAATTCAGGACCTCTGGAAGAACAGCCAGTGCTTTTAACCTCTGAGACATCTCTCCAGCCCTCTTATAACCTTGATAAGGGAGGAATCTGTAGGGTGTAAATATGTCCTTTTCTTAAAGTTTTCTTATGTGTTTTTAATTTTTTGTTTGTTTGTTTCAGATTAAATGTTGTCTTTACTTTCTCAAACTTGGCATTTAGCATAGCAACTTAAAGAAGCAACTTTGTCATGCCTCGATTACAGCGATAACCTTAAACATTGTTCTTTTTAGCATGGAGCCTTTGGGTTAAAGTCAGTTTGCATTGTAGGTGTCAGGTCAGCTCATTACTTGACCCAGTGTGTGAGTATTCTGTAATTCTGAATTCCCTGGATGTTAACTGTAATGTCCTGAATCGGGCTCTCCTCAGCTACGCCGAGTTGTTGATGGTTAACCCATGCTGGGTGTTTTCATTGCCTGCTTCCCACCTTCTGCTTACCACTGTCTCACCTTCTCTGTCTCCCTATCCAGTTTGAAGACAGCGAAGAGGACTTTGACTCGAGATTTGATACAGATGATGAGCTCTCCTACCGGCGAGACTCCGTGTATAGCTGTGTCACACTGCCTTACTTCCACAGTTTTCTGTACATGAAAGGTACTGCCTAGGTTGGGGTAAAGCTATAGAAAAGCATTCAGCCCACCCACCCGCCACTTAGGGGAATGAAGAACACTGGGTCATGTTCGAGCCATCTGGCTGCTACTGCCATAATGAATGTGACTTTGACTCCCCTGAATTGGTGCCAGGAGATAGGGAGAGCAAAGAGTCTCAAAACTCCCAGTGTCCATTTTTAGTCTCACTTTTCACCTGCTCTATATCCCCTCTTTACCACTCATGTATACATACTTGCAATCAAATGTGAGTAAGGTCACTGCTGAAAGTCTCTAGGACCATTCTCATAACTCCATCCCCATACACAAGACCTGGAAGGATGTATTGAACCCTGTGCAGACACAGCCTGTGAAACTGCTCATCACACCTGCTTTGTGATGAGACTTTTCAGCATCAAACGTGCTGGACTTAAATATTAAGCATTAAAAACCTTGAGGCACCTGTCATTTAGGAATTGTTTTAATTATGGCCTCATGCTTCCTTTGGATATTTGGTCCTGGATCCTCTCTCGAGGTCCAGCAAAATGAGAAATTAATCATCACCAGGATTTGCTGGTAGGTTTCTATAGATGGAGGGCCCTAGACTCAGGGCAGGGAAAGGGCTAGAGCATGGGAACTGGGCAAAATAACACTCATCAATAGGTGCCATCATTGATTCTACAAGCCTTTTCTCTGTTCCTGATTTCTCCATCAATGAGTAATTTATTTCCAGCCCTTTTCACTTTTCCACTCACATATGCATTCACGTGTGTGTGTGTGTGTGTATGTGTGTGTGTGTGTGTGTGTGTGTATGTCTGCTTGCCTGCCTGCCTGCCCCCTCTTCTAAAACACTAGTCTAATGACCATGAAGTTTTCATTGTGAGCAAACATTTACAAATGTTCTACTAGGTTTAGTTTAGGGAAGACTTTTCTGTTGTCTGGTGTTACTGCTTGGAAATACAAATGCTGGGGAATACTTGATACTCAGGCAAATACTTGACCAAGCAGGGAAATCTCAAGAACATGGCCGCCTGCATAAGACCTGAACAGGGTTGACAACAATAGACACAGAAGGGGGAATTCTCATAGGAGCCGAATCCTAGACAAAGAACTATAGGAAACTAAAGAATGCCAACAGCAGGAGAACCATTTTTCTCCACGGGAGAGCCTCCCTGTTGGTTATCCAACACCAAGAGGTCATTCTGAAATCATATACATTACATACATACATACATACGTTCGGAAAAGAAGAGCCACAGAAAGGCCGCTGCAGCAACTGTTGGCACATTAACTAAGATTTATCACTGCAGCATACCAGAACAACCTTGTGCTACAGTTTTCCTCTGGGCCTGTTTTGAAAGATGAAGATTAAAGTCACAAATCAAAACAATCCTAATGTTTCACTGTGAGAGTCCTTGGCAGATTTGCTGCGGGGAAACAGCTCTGTCTTGGCTTCATCACGAAAGGTCTCAGCCAATTGAGTGGAGAACTTTGGAGTTCTAAAGAGGGAGATTGTCTGGTTATTTTAGTGAGGGGAGGGACTGTCTCGCTTGTCCATTCACTCCAGAAAAAGGTCTATTAGATTTGTTTTCTGACCTGTAAAAGGAATGCACTGGGCTTTAAGTCTCCATGTTTAGGTATCTTGATTTTGTTACTGCTTGATCACAATAAAGTAATAGCACGAGCAGTTCTGTAGTGAGCTACAGAAGTAGATTATGCTTGCCCATGTACAGTCTTAAAAGATTTCTCAGTGATCGTAGTAAGATATCCCTGGTATGCATGTGGAAATTTGGCTACCAAGGTCAGTATATATGCTTCTCCCATTATCTCAGTTAACAGACATTTTCTGCATGTACCCGCCATGTACCTGTTATCCCAGTGACTCATAAGGCTGAAGGATGAGGGCAGCCTTGACATCTTAATACCAAAACCCTGACTCAAAATAAAGTTTAAAAATGGAATGTGGTGGGAAATACAAGCTTGCTCAGCATGCATGAGTCCCTGGGTTCAGTCCTCAATACCACAAATCAAGAACAGAAGAAAGGAGGGCAGGGGCTAGCTTTAATTCCACCTGCATTTTCTCCACTCTGCAGTCTGACGCATTCCGCTACGCACTCCCACTTTGTTGCTATCAGCCTTCTGCCTTTTATCTAAAATCCACTTTCATTTGACAGTGTTTTCCTATGAAAAGATACATTTACCCAAAACACAGCATTTTCTTCTTCTCTGGAAGTAAGACTTCATCGCTAATTCTAGAACCATGGACAATGCTTGTTCCGACACCTGCTACAAAAAGGAGGCACATGACCCTTGCCACCATAGCTCACTACCCTGGGGCACTTGGAGGCAACCATGGGCCACACATATAGTGAAGGCTCTTACTCACGGCTCAGTCGGTGACAGCCTCCATGTGAGCTGTCCAGGGAAGTTTCTCTGCTAACTGAGGAGGAGCCATTTTTGTGTATCAGGGAGGAACATTCTTGGATGACAAAGCACCCAGCATAAGCCCCTCCCCATGCCAGAAGTCATGAGTGTGTGTTAGCTGAGGCAAGGCTCAAAACTCTCACTTGCTTTGACTGACCTGGTAACCCTTTCTCTTTACCCCTCCTTGGGGGAGACAGGTGGCCTGATGAACTCCTGGAAGCGCCGCTGGTGCGTCCTCAAGGACGAGACCTTCCTGTGGTTTCGATCCAAGCAGGAAGCCCTCAAGCAAGGCTGGCTGCACAAGAAAGGCGGCGGCTCCTCCACGCTGTCCAGGAGGAACTGGAAGAAGCGCTGGTTTGTCCTTCGCCAGTCCAAGCTGATGTACTTTGAAAACGACAGCGAGGAGAAGCTCAAGGGCACCGTGGAAGTGCGGACAGCCAAGTAGGTCCCCGCAGCCCGGCTGCCCGATCATGCGGATGGGTGCACTTTTTTTGTTTGTTTTTGAAAGTGTGTGTGTATGCGTTTGTGTGTACATGTGTGTATGTGTATGTGGGAGCCAGATCTCAATGTAGGGTGCCATTCCTCAGAAACTGCCTCTTACAGATAGTCCGTCACGGGGGCCAGGAGCTTGCCAAGTAGGTTAGTTAGGCTGGCCGGCCGGCCAACAAGCCCTGGGGGTCCTCTGCCTCCGCCCCCCCCCAGTGCTGAGATTGCTAGTACGCGCCAGCACACTCAGCTTT